AAACACCTCTTAAATGGTTAGCTTCTTAATACATGAAAAAGACAAGATATAATTGTAGCTGCCACTTGTTGAATGCTATGCTATGTGAAGTACTTAGCACTTTCAATCAAGTGAATCTTCTCGGAGATATTGTATATGTCATTCTTTGGTTGGAAGGTATTTTCATACAAACTTTTGTCAGCTGTCTTTTTCTTTTTAGATCTCAGCTCAGGACTCAAGTGTTACCTCTTCAGTTGTTCTTTGATCACTTCTAACTGAAGTAGGCCCTTTTTTCTCTCTCTTGAATTTTTCTGGAAGTCTTCTCATACCTGCAGAGGAAGTATTAGTCTTTCTAACCTCTTGCTCTAATGGTTCTTTGAGCACACCACTTAAATTCTTAAATTACATTATCATAAACATGATCTTGTTTTTACTCATTTCTCTCACCTTCTAGAGTGTGAGTTCCTATGGGGCAGATGGTATTTTATTCTTTTTTGAGTTCCTGTTGCCTCATATGTGGCAAGTGTTAAGTAAATATTTGTTTAATGACTGGAAATCTCTTTGAAATGCTAAAGTCAGAAAAGAACAGCATATTTTTGTTTTAAAAATCTCTTACTGGAAATTAGAATAGGTGATACATGCATGAATAAGTTTGCAGAAAAGAGTTATATCACAGGCTTCAGACAGCAAGCTTTAGAAAGGTCTGCTTTCAAGTTTGGCCCTTGGGTGATATGGGGAAACTTAGATTTCAGGAGGGTGCCCACCATCCAGCCACTGATAACAGTGTCTCACTCTGCTTATTAAATTAAATTACTAGTACTAACAATATGGCTTGTGATAAACACCTACTTTTCTTTTGGAATCTGGAATTTTGGTATGTCCTCTCTCATTCCCTCCTTCCTTCTCTCCTTCTCAACATACACATACAAAAAATGTGCATGTACATAGTCACATATGCACATGTACATGTTATACATACAATTAGAGAGGTGGGTAGATAGTTACTTTGTCTTTTTTTTTTTTCAAAGATTTATTTATTTATGTATACAAGAACTGGGGTATTGGCCAGAGGTGTGGTGGGTAAGAGGATTCATCAGAGACAGACTGGGGAGCAGAACAGGTAGATCTACTGAAATATACTGCTGAGGGGAGGAGCGGGTGAGACAGGAGAGGTCTGCTGCGCCATGTGGGTTAGCTCTCTGGCCAGGGATAGAATTTGTACTGCAGTGGCTGGTGATTCCTTGATAACACTGTGTCTTAACCCCAGTGCCACCAGGGAGGCCCCTATCTTGTTTTATCATCTAAATTTCTCAGTGATTCAATTTGGTTCATATTCAGAAGCATAAACTCTTAGGAGGGGAATATAAAAAATCTGAATGCAGATATGACATAATTTTACTCTTATCTCCTTGTTTCTTTGTTGGTTTTTTATTTCTTTGTGTGAGCCTTTACTCTTGCAGAGTTATATTTGTTGAAGAATGTGATCTGCCCTTTTTCCTTCTAATTAATTGACTCCCTTTTAAAAAGTCCTTTCTTGAATGTTTTAAAATAAGTCCTTAGTATAGCTATTTATATATGTTCTTTCTTAAAATCTGTCTGCCAGACGTGTCTCTTTTTCTTTACCAACACTAATTTATTTTGAAAAAGTCACAGATAATACATTCAAATAGACACTGCTCAATTTTTTTTATGATAGAGATACACTAACCTCTCTAACACATCAAGTTGTTTAGATAAAATATCTACAGCTTTTTGTATGTCACGCAACCTCAATAAAGTAGTTTTTTAAATGAAACTGGATGGAAAATTAAAATACATTTCAAAAAAGCTGAAATACTAAACATAAATATATAATAACTTGAAAATGTCAATAATATCCCAGAAAACTATAAAATGGAATGCACATATATACACACTAACCCCACGCCAACAAATATATACCATAATATGCTAGTCTCATAATTAAGAAGCCGTTTGCTTAATGTTCATTGTCCTTGAGGTGAGGTGTATTGGCTACCCTAGTTCTCTTGAGTATGGTTGACAGGTTTCAGTGATTAATGATACATTGTTATTAATCACTGATGCTTAGCAACTACAGGGGTTATGAATTAGAAATCTGTAATTAGATTCAGAGTGACAGTGATGATGATTTAGTTGGAAAGAAGTCATGCAATTTGTGGTTTCCTCTACCTTGCTTTTGATGATGGGAAATGTTATAAAATTTCAGAAATTTAGGACGATCTTTTATTTTACTTTAATGATTTACATTTGTATGTTAGTGCTCTATATAGTACATGTATATGAAACCTTGGTCATGTGAGAAATCCGAGATTTGTATTATATTTAACATCATACAAATGTCTACATAGTGTTTTGGATCTCCAAAACGATATTATTTACTACTGAATAATCAAAATAAATCTATTTTGCACTATTTTAGGTTGCCGAGTATCTTTATACAGACCCATGTTCCTACAATTTTTTCACCATTAGTAAAGATTTATTTTCTCCAATGTGTTTAGAAGAGAATTTATAGCTGTGGTTACCTGTATTATTTTCAGCAAGTGTTTAAATAATAGAAGAATACAATTAAGGGGAAAATCTCCAAAAATCCTCAAGTCACATTTTTTTTGTTTACTTTCCAGCCTTTAATTTTATGAGTATTCCTTAAGTTGAATAGGAAAGAAAAGTGAGATTTTGTGCTCATTTGCCACGTGTTTCATAATTTATTTTTAACTGTTAAAAAAAAGCAGTGTGTAGGTATACATATTTTTCCTCTTGTATTCTGAAATTCTTTTATGATTAGGATAAGAAACATTGCTAATTGAGATACATTAATTTTTTTCCCATCAAAACAGGGAATCACGAGTTTACAGAGGGTCTTAAATGTTTTTTATTGATCATACATTTATTTTGTTTGATCTAAAAATTTAAAACTATTGTATCTTTGGGTGTTGCACAGTTGGTTTCAGCTTTCTGCAAGTTAGAAATCAGTGGATAATGATAAAAAGGAAGAACCTGCCCATTTTCTATGGAATGGAACTTGATAAAGGAAGTGCAATGGTTGAATTGACCCTGCAATGCCCTTTAGTTATATTACTCTCTGACCTCCCCATATTTCATGATATTGGGTAAAGAAGAAACTACCTTCCCAGTTATTTATTTCTTGACTTGCACCCTAGATCTGGCTAACACTCTCGGTATCACTGGGATATTTATTTCATCTATATTCTTCCTGAGCATCAGCAGGAATTACATCCATAGAGCCCCTGCATTAAGTCTGTTGCTCCCAGTTTAATGTTTCTTGGATGTGTTGCTTTAAATATATTTTACTTTTCCCTTCTTGATCTGGCTTCCACTATTTACTAAGGGTTGGCACTTCACACAGACTAGTATCTGCTAAATGACAATAGTTTCAAAAACATGGTAGGAAAAGCTATTAGGAGAGATAGTATTTGACTTTGAATTTAAACTAGGATTGAATCCTATCTCTCCATCACTTATTACTTAAGCTCTTTATATCTAAATGATTATATCTTTAAAGTGGGCAAACTACTACTGATTACCTCATTAGGTTTATTTAGAGATAAGATGATCTAATGCTGGCAAAACTTGCAATAAAGCCTGGGATATAGATAAAAAGGCAGATATTCAATAAAAACCTGGGATTCCTGTATTCCTTGGCTGTCCTCTTTTTCATCCAAATATTTGACCCATAACTTGTTGTCATCTCTACCTTTGTAGTTTATCAGGGATGTGGTTTCACTTCAGTGTACTCATTTTCTTTCCTTCTCCTTGTGGTTTTCTTCTGCTAATCTAAATGTTCACAGTTGTGCTTTCCTTTTTATAGTAGGAAATATCTTGGGGGATTGTCAGGAAAGCAAAATACTTTGTTGTCAGTGATGATTTTATGGCTCATTAGTAGGGATTTGTAGTAATAAAATAGGTTTTTGTTTCATTTTACAATATCCCTATTTAAACTGTTACAGTCCCCCGCTCACTTACAGTTATGCATACTTATTGTAAAAGATAAGGTTAGTACAGGAACATAAAACTTAAAAGGGAAAGATGTTTCCTAAATATTTTTTGAGTGCCTACTATGTCATAAGATATTGTAATGTGCTGAAACAATTATTAATAGTTTGGATATATTCTTATAGCTTTTTGTTAAAGGTATCTGTAATTCTATAAGTAATATTATTTACTAAAATAAAGCCAAACTGAAAAATTGTTCTTTATCATTTTCCATCACAAAATTATATATTTTCTTTTTTAAAATATTTATTTATTTATTTATGCATACAAGAGCTGGGGTACAGGCTAGAGATGCAGGGGGTGAGAGGATTCACCAGAGACAGAGTGGGGAACAGAACAGGCAGACTGACTGAAATACACTGCTGAAGGGAGCAGCAGCCAAGTCAGGAGAGGTTTGCTGCGCCATGTGGATAGCTCCCTTGCCAGCCAGGGATTGAACTTGTGCTGCAGAGGCTGTGGATAGCTTCATAGTATGGTGCTTAACCCCTTGCACCACCAGGGAGACCCCTTCAAAATTATATATTTTCCAAGATTTTTACATTAGCATACAAAGATTTATCCAGTTCTTTTAGACTACTGAATAATATTCTTTTGAATGGATATATAATAATTTAGTTGATAAAGCTTTTATTGATATAGTCTTTAGTTCCTATTACAGTAAGAAATGTTACAGTGAAAATCTTTTTGATATGTACATATATGTACGTATATCTTTTTGATATGTACATTTCTGAATCATAAATTTCTAGAAATGGAGTTGCTGTTTTCAGTTCCATGCTATGTAAACTGTGGACAAAAATTTTCATAGTTTATACTTTGAAATATTTATGTACACTCAACAAAAATTATGTTAATGTTTTTACTGTTCTTTCAGCAGTGGGTTTAATTACAAATCTTGTATTAGACACATGTTTCTTGTTTATAATATAAAATCTAGTCTAATATATAATATGTATGTTGATTTTGTTTTTGTGTTTCTTTTACAGAGAGTGATAATGAACTCTCAAGTGGAACAGGTGATGTGTCTAAGGATTGTCCTGAGAAGATCCTGTATTCTTGGGGAGAATTGCTGGGAAGATGGTAAAAATTTATTTTTCTTATTGAAAATTTATATTTATAGAATTGAAGTTAATTTCTATTACTAGTTAATATATATCTTTATATATCTTGATATTTTAAAGTACTTTAAAAACAAAAAAAATCCATAGGTATTCTCTATGTTTGATTATGTCTTCCCTCCAAAATGATCTCTTACTTAACTTTGGAAGATATATTTGCTTTATTATTATTCAGATATAACATTGCTCAAAGTAGTCAGTTTTATGTTACATACCAACACATGTAAATATTTATTGTTAAAGGGTCACATTTTGTTTCTCTATCATGTCTGTAGACACTAAAAGCAGCTATAAAACTTATAATGGTTCATTTCATCACTGATTATAAACTATAATTAAACCTGTTTTATTCTTTGTGACTGAAACCATTACTTTACATTTGGGGATATTTTGTCTACACCTACAAAAAAAAGTTATTCTATTTATATTTACTAAAGTACATGATTACAGTTACAAGTTTTTAAAAAGGTAATCCTAACATATGTGATAAAATTTAAAAATCTTGCCAACAAAGACTCCTTTATACCAAACACATTGCTGTTAATTGAGTATGCATATCAGATTATATGCATTCTGGTAGTCCAGGAGAAAATACAAAGTTTGGGCAGAATTTTACATATTTATGCAGAAAAGTAGAGCAAATAACAATTAAAACTTCTTTTATTTCTTGAGAGACAGATGAATATTCCTTATGATAGTATCTTGTATACATCCTGAAAAGCTTTTGAGTTATTTCAGGAGGTACATGTTTACATTTCAAGAGGCTTGTGGCTTTTCATTGTAAAATCTCCAGACTAGGTTTCTCAAATTTCTGAACAAAGTGTTGATCCAATCATGTTATTAAGGAAATACCCTAAGAAGAAGGTATGCCTCCATATTTATTAAACAAATGATATTTTATTTTACTTTACATATTTTAATGAGCTATCAACACATCTCAGGTAATTTATGTAATAGATTAATTAATGGGAGCCAAAGAGATCTATCAAGAATCTATCAAGATGAATATTTGATTTAGAGATTTATATTCTCCACCTGATAATTCAGTTATGTAGCTACTGCAAAAAGCAGGGATCATGCTAAGTGAAATAAGTCAGAAGGAGAAAGATAAATAGCGATGGTTTCACTTCTATGTAGACTACAGAGAAACAAAACAAAGTATCAGTTAAAACCAAGCCAATAGCAAACCCTTGACATTGAATGAAAAACTGAGGCACTAGTAGTGGAGGGTGGCTGGATGGTTGTGTGGGTGGGAGATGGCCTGGTAAAACTTGATGGATGATTATTGGGGTACTGGTGGTAGGCAGGGTATGAAAAAATATTTGTAGAGGTTTGAGCCTTCAGCCATCAAAGCAGATACAGTGATGTAAACCAACCTTACCCCAAAAATATAACTAAGAAAAAAAATTACAAAAGAGAAAATTGCAGATCAATGTCCTTCATGAATATGGATTCAAGAATCCTCAACAAAATATTAATGTATCATGTCCCATAATATATAAAAAGGGATAATATAGCATGACTATTTATTTAGGATCTGTCACTATTTGGGGAATGTCAGGCTGGTTCTACATTTAAAAATAAACCATTGTTTCATTTTTTTGCATGTGGTGGTACAGTTTTGCCAGCACCATTTATTGAATAAGCTATCCATGTTGCATTGCATATTCTTTGCTCCTTTTACAAAGATTAGTTGTCCATGTAAGTGTGGCTTTATTTCTGGGCTTTCTAAAAATGTTCAACAACCCTTATAATCAGGGAAATGCAAATCAAAGCCACATTGAGATACACCTTACACCAGTTAAAATGGCACATATCAAAAAAACTAGCAGCAACAAATGTTGGCGAGGATGTGGTGAAAAAGGAACTCTGCTACATTACTGGTGGGCGTGCAAACTGGTCCAACCACTTTGAAAAGCTGTTTGGAGGTTTCTCAGTCTACTAAAAATGGAGCTATCATATGACCCGGCAATTCTACTCCTAGGGATCTACCCAAAGGACACAAAAACATTAATCCAAAGAACACCTGCACCCCTATGTTTTTTGCAGCACTATTTTACAACAGGAAAAACCTGGAAACAACCCAAATGCCCCAAAATAGATGACTGGATCAGGAAGATGTGGTGTATACACAATGGAATATTACTCAGCAATCAAAAAAGATAAACTCATGCCATTCTCAGCAACATAGATGGAGCTAGAAGGAATTATGCTCAGTGAAATAAGCCAGAAGGAAATAAGAAAAAATATCATATGGCTTCACTCATAGCAGGAATATAGGGGAACCAAATAAGACATCAGTGTAAAAAATATAATAACAGTACAAAACATAACGAAGCAAAAACAGACAATTATAAATCAGAGACATACTGCAGGGGAGGAGAAGGGAGAGGGATCAGAGGGAGGGAGGGAGGAGCATAGGGGACTGAGGTGATGGTACACAGGTGCATTGGTGAAGGAAATTCTATGGGGGAAAAAAAAATAAACCATGTGATTTACCATATGAACAGATTGTAGTAGAAAAACCATACAATTATCTCAGTTGATGCAGAAAAACCATTTAAAAATTTATTGTTCATTCATGATTAAACTCTTAGCAAACTAGGAGTAGGGATAATTCCTTAACCTAATAAAGTCATCTATGAAAAATCTGTAGCTAACTTCTTAAGGGTTAAAGACCTAAGGTTTCATAGTTTTCAATATCATAAAGACAAACCTCCAACATAGGATAACTTATTTCTAGACCTTTAGGAAACTTCCTGGACCTTTTACAATTCAGGTATTGTAATTCTGTTTGCATCATTATTGTAGTTGTATCATGACAATTCATATGAAAAGGGTAAAATTTGTCTAACTTAGAGAAGTTTATTATCTGTAAGAATTGACAAAAAGTTTTAATTGCTTTCAGAATATCTTTTTAAAATACTTTCTTCCTTAGATTTAGAAGCTTTCGATGAGTCTTAAGAATAATAGCTAGGTACTTAAATGAAGACATTTTTTGATTTACTTAGGTAAAGCACCTGCTACATAAAACACTACATTTTGTACTTTGGGGAAATTTTTCTTTTAAGTGAGGAGATAGCCTGTGTTCTTAATAAATGTTTAAATAAAATACTTGGCCTCCCCGGTGGCACAGCAGTTGAGTGCTGGGATGCAAAGCTGCCCACAGCAATCAATCCCCGGCCACTGGCGAGGGTCCCACATGGTGTGCAGACCTCTTCTCCTGCTGCGCCCGCTGCTCCCCTCATTGGTGTTCTTCGTCAGTCTGCCTGTTCTGCTCCCAGCTCTGGCTCTGGTGAATTCTCTCAGCCTCCCGTTCTTCTGACTGTACCCAGTGCTTGTATAAATCAATCAGTCAATCAATCAATCCAATTTTTAAATAAATAAACAAACAAATAAATAAATAAATAAAATACAGTTGAAAATATTTTGAACTTATGATAGACAAACTAGATCACTATATTAAAATAAAGTGACACTTTTATAGATAAAATCAGAATTCATGTTAGTAAATGTATTAGGAAAGTCTATAGAAAACACATTTAACCCTAATTTGAAATTATGAGAAAAAATAAGGATGATATGGAGAAGAAAACTAAAAACAGACTGTGTGAAAGTTTAGTATTGGAGGTCTTTATACAATATTTGAGTTGAGTCTTGAAGAAATAACTACATGAAAAGAAGTGAACAATCTAGACTTGAGAGCCACAAAAAGGAAGAGAGGGAATGAGGAAACATTTGGGATGGAAGGACTGGAAAAACTAAACTGAAAAGCAAGAATTCTTTGTATGTTTAGTTTATTCTAAATGGTAATGCCAACGACTTGAATATTAAATTATTTAAGAAATTGCATAAAATTATTTCTGATTAACTGCTGTTTCTTTTAAGTGTGTGGAAGTTCATGTATATTTTTAAAGATTTATTTATTTATGTATACAAGAACTGGGGTACAGGCCAGAGGTGGGGGGGGGGGTGAGAGGATTCACCAGAGACAGAGTGGTGGAACAGAACAGGAAGACTGAATGAAATACACAGTTGAGGGGAGCAGCGGGCAAATCAGAAGAGATCTGCTGCGCCATGTGGGTAGCTCCCTGGCTGGCCAGGGGTCAAACTTGTGCTACAGAGGCTGTGGATAGCTTCATAGTGCTGTGCTTAACCCCATGTGCCACCAGGGAGGCCCCAGTTGTTCATATTTTTAAGGGCAAAAAACAGTTTTGTCCCTGAATACTTATGTATAAAAATCAACATTTGTAGCAGGAAGACTTTCTATCCAAAAAAACTAATGCAACCATCTTCAAACAACTAATAAAACCATCTTCAAATTATTCTCTTTATTAGAGTATCAGAAAATTGAGATACATTTAGTAGACATTTTGATTGTATTCATTGTGGTTATACTTATCAAAGTGTGAAAATGTGTTCTTAGAGACCTTAAAACCTAGCTAAGCATCAACAAACTGTTGGGACAACAAAATAAAATCTAAACTCACAGGAAACCTGAAAAATTAGAATCACCGAGTATGACCATCCATAGCTTCCTTCCTTTTCATGTTAATATCATGTGCCATTTTTTTCAATTGAGGAAAAATGTTAGGCAGAAACATAACCAAATTATAAAAATAGTCTCTTGATCTTCATAATGGCCTTGACTCTGTCTCTTTGCTTGAAACTTTTCTTTATGTAGCTTGTTTAGTTAAAAACTAGGCTTATACATCTTAGTCTTCTCATTATTGGTAGGAGAAATCCCATAACCTTTCTTGATGCTACGTCATCATTTTTTTTTTAACATTGATTTACAACACGATGTGATTCAGAGTTATAGTATCACACCTCTTCAGATGTATGTTACCAACCACCAGTGTTCCCATAGTCCTCCACCACAGTTCATTGGGCTCCCTCCACACTATGCTCTTTACCCTCCTGTTTTCTCCCCCTCGGATAGCGTCAATTCTATACTCAGAC